ATTACTAGAAAACAGTAATATATAAAACATAAAAATACTGCTTTGCTTAATATAGCAAAAATGTTAAACAGTTATGATTGTATTTCAAATGTAGACGACACATGTAAAAATGGAAATGTCATCTTAATTATGCCATTATTATAACGATGATTTCTAATTAGTGCCTGCTTTATAATTCTTTACAGTTCTTTAAATATGAAGTTAACGTATAAATCTGGGGCTAAAAAGAGAAAAGAATAAAAAATTGATGCTTCATTATGTTCAAAACCAGTAACAAGTTTTTACGATAAAATAAATATTAAGTCTACAGAGAGCTTATCAATGTCAAAAACTTCTTCCAAGTTTTGTTCTTGATGAATCAACATCGACTTCTCAACATACACCAACTTCTGTGTTTTCTTTCAATTTAAATTACACAGCTACTGAGCAGTTATATGCACCACATGCTAGGAGAATTTTGGCTAAATGAATTTGTGAAAAACAACATCTAATAGATTTAACTTACCAGCATTAACTATTGGTTGATGTTGAAGAGCAAAAGAAGCAGCACGAACAAAGGCTGACATAAAACCTAGTTTGATTCCATGTTTCCTTGCAAAACTGTCTTTATGTGTATTTCTCATCTCAATTACATTTCTGAAAGTAGAAAAGATAAGAAGTCAACAGAAAACAGTTTAAATCTTGTTCTCAAGTTCACCTGAATAATAATAAAAAAAAATTACAAAATGTGCTTTATACAAAAAAACAACAAGTATATTACAGTACCAGAATAAAAACAGAGATGTAATAGTATTGCATGTTCTTATCCTTCAGGCATGGTGTGTGCTTGTGTGTGTATATCAAGGTTTGAAAATTGCATACTTTAGTTGGCCCTGACCATTTTAGCTATTTTATCTTGTGAAAATATCATCTTTACTCCAATCTCCGAAATGGAACCTCTAGCTTTCTGGGGATCCCTGCCATGAAAAAGAGTTTCCTGGAACATGTGAATAGTGGGATCAATCCAAACAAATGACAAATATTGACATCTTAATTGAGAAATACCTTTTGGTCAGTATTACAATAGTAATCTCAAGTTGGTTTATTTTTTTATATCTATCTGTATTAATATAAAAATCATGTATACTCCAAGAGTGGTATAATCAAAAACTGTTGTTTTCAATTAGTTTTGTTTAATGTTATACATATATATATACAAACAAACATACACACATATACATGTTTCCAACTGTTTTTTTTTAAAACTTCACCTCTTCAACTGATAAAATGGAAGTAATACATATATACATGTTCTTGGAGCGGACAAGTTAATCTTGATAAGGACCAGTTAGAATCCCTAGAGTAAGATGAAGAATTTTTGTGAATTTTGGACCCTGGTGTGTTATATTAGGTGTATATTAATTCCCTAAGAAATTAATGTCACTGTTTTTTTATATGAAAAAAACCCGAACAACTTATATATAAAAAAAACATTTAGTAAATGATATAGTCTCCATTCTTATCGATGATGCTTTTTCATCTTATAATCAGGTTGTTAATGCCCTGATTAAAGAAATCACTTGGCTTTGAAGCAAGAAACACGTCAATCTCCTCTTTAACACCTTCCACATTTGCATACATTTTCCCATTAAGATGGTGTTGCAGCAAATGAAAAAGATAGTAATCTGATGATGCCATGTCGTCCAGGCCCCAACCAGGCAGATGAGGTCCCACATCTCATCCTTGGAATTATAGGGCTGTGGACTCAAATTGAGATTCAAGGTGTTGTGGTTAAGGCATGAGGACTGCTATATTGTTTGGTCTTGTTTAGTAATGTGATTTTATTGCAATCCAATCTGAAAGTTATTGCATGTTGATCATCAGAATTATGAAGAGAAGGCAAGCAACACCAAAGTTGACAAACCTTCACCCCAACCTGAAGAAGCAAAAAATGCAACAAACCAAACTCGTAATTACAGGACCTGTCATGCCTCACTCAACCTGAGGAAACAGGGATTACCCAGTCTAGGAATTACGAAACAAGGCAAGGCAACACCTCCTGCCCAGGGAATGAGGATGTGGAACAAACTGAGCTCAACCAATGGCATAGGAAGTGACACTCTGCATGCAGAAGTATAAAGAGTCGATGGACCCTCTTCCATGACCATTGAAATAAAGAGGATGACCAAAAAGGGCCACACACAACCCAACCGGATAGTGAAGTCATCTCTAAACCGGAATTATGAAGAGGCTCCTGTGTAGGCTGGTCCTGCTCCTACCATACATCTGGAAAAACCATCCAGGGTTATTGGTAGGAGGGCACCAAGCTTTGCCCTCTTCTCCTTGAGTGGAATAGTGAGTATAAGCATCACTCAAGAGGAATAAACCTCTGTCCACAACTCCAGCAACTGGAAACCAGGAGTGGTAAGGGCTCCCATGCTCCATTAAGAGAAATGGGGGGGGGGGGGGATACTCGTATTTGGGAGTCTCAAGGAATGATGCTTCAGACACTGTGCAATAGGTGAACCTCATTCCGTATTTTAACAAGCAAACCAACCCCGATTTATTTAATTTAGGGGTCAACAGGGATGGCCAAAATCTCCATAAGCTATACTCATGATAGCCCATGAGTGGTGGTCCATTATTGTTATTTGTTTTTGTGTTATAATGGTGTACCACCTGGAAAGTGCAAAAGGTGGTCTTATGGAACACTCAATCTCAACAGAGCTTGTTGCTATCAGGAAAATTATTGATTGATTGATTGGTTGCTAGTGCAGAATTGGAAATAGACACACCTAACCTGGCAACACCCACCAAGAGTGGGATCCCAATGAAAATGATGAGCTGATCTCTGAAAAAGAAATGAAGTCACTCACCTCTTTTACAAATGAGCTGGGGTGTGGAGAATGGCGGGTAGCCAAAAACCTTTTGAGGAGGCAAGCATCAAGTCATATATACAATGAGACATAAATGTATTAGACATGGTCCACATACTAGCCTATATATTCCTCTCCAGGACATTGAGATATGGCAAATTTGATGAGATGAGACCTGAAGTATCTCCATCCCTCCAACAAAAGCCTAGAGTAAGCAATAAGTACCAACTGATGAACCCAACCTATCAAAGTGACAGGGGATAGGTCATGTGACACCTTAGGATCCCAATGGATAAACAAACAGTAATATGAACACAGAAACCCTTCAGTTTCTCCAACAGAACACTGAAGAGCCTAAACTGGGCATAAAAGATGATCCGGATACGAGCATACATAAAATGGGAAATGGAGGGACAGTGAATAAAGAAGAAAAACCTTATCTCCTTCTCTAGTTATTGAAGTTTTGGGAAGAAAGGACATATCACGATACAACAGAACATAACTGGAATGGTATTGACTTTTCCTTGTCTCAATCATTTCCTCTAGCCTCCTTGATTTAGCAATGAGTCATTTCTTTCCCTCCTGTGGTACTTTGCACCTGGTCTATGGATTACATTAAAAGTTCAATGTCGCTGATGCCTACCTTCATATTTCAATTGCAGAGTCTTCACATTAGTATCTCCAATTTGTGCAGGAGAGATGGAATTGGACATAGATGTATTCAGCCAGGATGGGACAGGTCTTCATTTGAGATGCATGTTCACAGGACTATTTGACAGGTCACTAATCGCCTGTCTTCTTTGCTACTACAAACAAATGGGAATAAAATCCCTTGAAAGAGTAGCTTACGCAATCTATGGCCTCTTTGAGCAGAAGTTCTTGGATGGCTGGCGCTTGATGACTGAACGTAAGACAATCCTTGGGAAGGGGAAAGACAACTGTTATGGTACACAATGGAGGAGGAGATGTGAAATGAAGGACCAGCCCTCTGGTAAGAACCTGAATGACACACAGATCGGAAGCGAAGATCTCCCATACAGACCCAAACCACCCGAGTCAAGTAAATAATCAGTTAGAAGACTGGGAAACGCAGGAGGCCAGAGTACTAAAAAAAAAAAAAGTGGAAATGGGCCACATCCACCTGAGATTCTTGGAATAGCTTCAAAAATCATATGTCTGAGAAAAGGAGCTTCTCTCAGACTTCAAAGGGCTAGAGAAGAAAGTCAAACACCCTTAAGTAAGGCATCCCTCCCCAAAAGGTCCTAGCAACAAACCAACCAAGAGACCAAGGAGAGAGCAGAATCTCTTACCAAAGTAGAAATCAATAAGAAACTAAAATCCTCTGATAGGCCTCAGACAACAGATGCAAAGAAGATAAACAATGCAAAAACTGTTGTAAGGGACAGTCAAATCCTGGAAAATTGAGTGAGGTTAAAACGAATAGAGGCATCAGGCCCAGAACCATCAAGTGAAAGAAGAGGATCCAACATCTGAGAATTTTAGTATGGGTCTTCCAAGCGATGGAAGGCTAAAGTACACTCTCCTCCCTAAAACATGTTCACTAATGGTCAGTTTCAAACTGTCTTTGTTAAGCTGAAGAAGACCTAAGATTGAAGTGTTGTACTTGTACTTTATTTTAATTAAAGTTTTTAATACCCATACCAGTTGTCTCTGCTGTACATTTTGACTTCAAGTGGGTTTCTTGTCATCATTAATGCATAACTTATATTTCTGAATAAATGTAATGAAGAAGTTCTGAAAATGATACTATTCTTCCACCTGTACATTTTTCTTCCTCTTATAAAACTTGAAGTCACTGGATGCATTTCATTTAACTGACTTATAAAATATGCACGAACAAGGAAAATCGAAAATGTTTAAGGGTATATATAAGTGTATAAGCATATCTATTCATAAAACAGCACATATGGTCATATTAGTTTCAACTCTTAAAGAAAAGATGACATAACGTAACAACATCTCCCTACCTCGTGTAATTTTAAAAACCTTAAACTAGGTCAAAAACAAATGCCAATGCATGCCATTTATGGAGAAAATACATTGTGGGAATGACAGAATTTGTCCCAGTAAGAGAAATATCTACACACTTCTTTCTGACAAGACAACATACAGACAACTCTCTATTTCATACATACAGTTCTGTGGCTCTGAAGAGGAACTAGTAAATGTTGTATAAATTTACTTAACAATATACAAAAAACACAGCATAATATCCTCTTTTTTTCACTTGGAAAATTTTGAAAAATTTCAATAAATATTATTAAGGGCTTTTTTCAGTTTCCTTAAAATAAGGAAAAAATAAAATACTTTTAGTGAATGTTAAGCACATAAAAGAGGGTAACTAGTGTACATAACATGTTGCAGTAACCTTCATAGAATAATAGATCAAAAATATGTTTTGTTATTAGTATTCCCAATATCTGTATATTTGAATCCTTTTCTGGTAGAAGCAGTGTGTAGAAGTACCACACATTCACATAACATTACTAATCCTACAATAAAGGAATAAATCTTAATGAAGCCAAACTATGCTTTTCTTTGTTATTCTATGTTTAAAGTAGCAATATACACTTTCAATCATTTCAGTACACCTTAATATCATTCTCTTTGTGTTTAATTTATATTGACTTCTGGTAACATAAAATTTTACAATTTTCTTATTAAACAACATCTAGATTATCAAATTACATGCATCTACACATTATAATTTTTATTGACTGATTTTCAATCGTTAATCTTATATAAAAATTTGTGTGAACTTGGCATAAACATTTTCTGTTGAACTACTTTTTATGCTGTTGTATGCATTACTTTTAAAACAAATGTTGTGTAACTAAAATAAAACCATGCTATTCACTTAGACTTGAAAAAACTCTGTGTGTCTTTGACACTGGCTTATTGCATAACAAACAGCGAAAATATTTAAAGTTTTCAATTTATGAAACCAATAGTTTGACAAAATTTAGGATTGATGTAATCTGCTTCACATTCAGGCATCAGAAATAATAAACTGGCCAAAAGACAACGGTGGAAACACTGATTGACCAAACTTTACACACATATAATATATGAATTTAAGTAGTTTTGCAAACAATTACATATATAGGAAATATTAAACTGGGCTACAATAATTTGTTAGTAATATATGGTACTTTCATTGTTTCCACAACATAAATAAAGATACCTTCTTATATACTTATTTAATGCATTTTTTTGAAATTAAGTTAGTTACAAAAAATGTGTATATGTGTACATATATATATATGTTTGCTATTTTTTAGTTGTTATGTATTGAGAAACATTTATGGATACACTAGTACTGGATTTATTATCATAGGTGTTTCTACTAATTTTTCCAGTAAGCTGTTTTCCACAAAGTAACAAGACCAGTTTTAGTACTTCTGCATGTAAAAGGTTATACAGGTTTATGCACTGCAATTCTCTATAAAAATGCAACAATTTTCATAGGAATGTGATTAATACTTGTAACATTCCTTTTATGGATGTACACTTGAGAACTGAGTTTTATACAGCATATAAAGATATATATATATATATACTAGGTTGTCAAGTAATTAATGCCACTTTTTTTTTCAGGTGAAAAAGCCTGAACAACTTATATACCAAAACAAAACATTTATTAAATGAAATAGTGACGTTCCTTTTATGGATGTACATTTGAGAATTGAATTTTACACAGCATATACAGACACAGATATATGTGTATATATATATATATATATATATATATATATATATATA